CACCCCAGCTGTTGGCCCTTTAACCCCGCTCCCCATTCTCCGTACCCCTTGGCTGTGCCAACCTTTGTTAACCATTACCGAAACGAGCACGGGGAGGGGCAGGAGAGCGGAGGTGCACCCAGATGAGCAGTGCTGACAACCAAACGCCTGTGGGATCCCGGCAGGTATGGGGAGGACAGAGGGAAACCCGGGTGGCAGAACAGTCCCTGCATTCCTGAAACTGTGTCAAAGGGGACTGAACCAGGGGGGCTTCACCTGACAGGGGGGCTTCCCTGGCCACGGTTCCACTGTAGGAGCCAGCCGGTGCCAGTGCCATTGCCTCTGCTATTAAGGAAGGCTGCCAGCACTGTGGGAACCCAACGATGGCCACGGAGAAGGACGCTGTGATCCGGGAGGAGCTGGGCAGCCTCCATGGCATGCCCTTCCACAAGTCCTTCATGGAGGGCTGGCCACAGGTGGAGGCTTTCCAAGCCCGACCCGATGATCTGCTCATAGCCACCTACCCCAAATCAGGTGCGTGGCCCCAGGGAGGGGACATGGTCGGGTGGGGATGATGGGGTGATGCTGGCCCTTGCCAAGTGACCCCTGTGTCGCAGGTACAACGTGGCTGAGTGAGATTCTGGACATGATCTACCACGACGGCGACGTGGAGAAGTGCCGGAGGGATGTCATCTACAACCGGGTACCCTTCCTGGAAATGAAAGTCCCTGGGATGCTGAGCGGTGAGAGCCCCAGCCCGGCCACCTCCTCACCCTGGGTTAGATGAGGAGGGAGTATGAGGATGCTGGGGTTCGCATCGCTAAGCCCCCCGTCCCGCAGGTGTCGAGCAGCTGGAGAAGACCCCGTCTCCGCGGTTGGTGAAGACCCACCTCCCCATCCACCTCCTCCCGACCGGAAATGAAAGTCCCTGGGATGCTGAGCGGTGAGAGCCCCAGCCCGGCCACCTCCTCACCCTGGGTTAGATGAGGAGGGAGTATGAGGATGCTGGGGTTCGCATCGCTAAGCCCCCCGTCCCGCAGGTGTCGAGCAGCTGGAGAAGACCCCGTCTCCGCGGTTGGTGAAGACCCACCTCCCCATCCACCTCCTCCCGACCTCCTTCCAGGACAAGGGCTGCAAGGTAAGGCCATAGGTGACTCCTAGTCTCCCTGTCTCTTGTCAAGGGGGGGGAGTGTCACTGCTTTGCACCCCTCCAAAATGCATTCTTGTCTGTCCCCAGGTCATCTACATGGCCCGCAACCCCAAGGATGTCGTCATCTCCTACTACTACTTCTACCAGATGGCCAAGCTGCACCCCGACCCCGGCACGTTGGCAGAGTTCCTGGAGACCTTCCTGGCTGGCAAAGGTGGGCGATGAGCCCCGAGGTGCTCACGCCAAAATGGACATCCCCCACCTCCCCAGTTTTTGGCTAACCCCTTGACCACATCCCGCAGCGGCCTATGGGTCCTGGTATGAACACGTGCGGGGCTGGTGGGACAAGAGGCAAGAGAAGTGGCTCCTTTACCTCTTCTATGAGGACATGAAGAAGGTGAGGGGTGGGATGGAAGGGAGGATGCCCTGGTTACTCCCTCCACTCCGAGCCTTTTCAGCAGCTTCCCCATGTCCACTGCCCCGCAGGACCCACAGCGGGAGGTGAGGAAGATCCTGCAGTTCCTGGGCAGGGAGGTGTCAGAGGGGACGGTGGCCAGGATCCTTCACCACACGTCCTTCCAGGAGATGAAGAAGAACCCCGCTGCCAACTACGAGACCATCCCCACCTCCATGATGGACCACAATCTATCCCCTTTCCTCCGCAAAGGTGGGGCTCAGCCTACGGTAGAGGGCTTGGGGAGGGGGTGTCAGGTATTTTGGGGGTGTCAATGTTAGCCCTGCTTGCTTTCTCGCTCTCAGGGATATCTGGGGACTGGAAGAACCATTTCACGGTGGCCCAAAACGAGCGCTTTGACGAACACTACCGGCAGCACATGGCAGGCTCCGACCTCGTCTTCCAGATGGAGGTGTGAGGGGCTCGTGTCCACCCCAAACGCTGGGGTGGGGGGGGCTCTGCTTCTCCCTCCTCCCCCAGCAGGGATGGAGCATCCTGCATCCTTGCACTGATTCCTTTTTCTCCTTGCAATAAATTGAGATAACCCAAGAGTGTGTCGTTGCCTGCAGGGAAAGATGAGGGGGGACTGAACTCCCCCCAAATCCTGGGCAGCGGCCAGGAACACCCCCATCCTCATTGGACAGGTGGATTTTTTAATGGACATCACCAGGAGGGCAAACATCCTCCTAAAAACCACTGTCAAATCCCAAAGCTTGCGGGAAAGGGAGCACAAAGATGGGCGAGGAATGGAAAAACCCCAAAACCACCGCCCCGCATTTTATGCCCCCG